TAGGGGGGGGGGGAGGGGGGGGGAAGAGTCGCAAGAAACACCGTCATTCCACACACCGATCTCGATTCGGTACCCTGATCCTCGCGCCCCCGCGCCTCGCCTAAGGGTGAGGAAAAATAGGGACTCCCGCCCACGCGGCCGGCTCAAGTTCCTGGAATTTCAATTTGAATTCTCACAAACCTCCAAGTCTGGAATCGAGTCATGTGGACCATTCGGCTCTTTTCCGGATGATTCCAGGAGCACCAACTTTTTTCGTCCTCTGATCTCACCCGCGCTCACTTTGCTGATGAGCGATTCGGCACGTGCCTCGTTATCGCAGAAAATCACCTCCAGTTCACAATTGTTGATTATTTCGCTGAAATAAGGCAATATTCCTACTACTTCCTTTGCTGGTCTCTTCTGCTTTCCTACTGTTTTGTTTTGTCCCAGCTCGTGACGCGTGTTTTGCCACTAGGATATTGCGAGAGGACTCATTGTTGAGGTTCGGGCGCGAACAGAACCCAGAAGCGTACTTTTCGAGCACTGTCACTCAAAGATACGCTGTGCACTTGATTGCGCGGACCCTGGTCCTTGCTAAATGCACGGTGAATGGCCAGCAGCTGAAGAAACAAGCCTTCCTTGTCACTCGAAAAAGGGTAGAAATGAGGCTAGAGGTAGCGAGTGCTGAATCTCCACCCGCAAGCAAAGTACGCAGCACGGAACACGCCACACTACCAAATGGCTAGCCAAGCCACTTGGGCTTCTTGTATGTGCCCTGTTGTTTTCCGTACGTGGTCGCCGATGGACGGCTCGTTTTCCTACGCGGGTCCTCGGCCCATAAGACACTACCATGACGTTGTAGACGTGGGATAGAAAGGGTGCAGAAGTAAGTAAGGAACGTCAACAAAGACATCCACCTTCCTCGACTCCAGCGTCCTACAACGCCTTCCGCTCCCACCTTCGAATGACGGAAGTGGCATTATTGCACAGAGGGGACTCGCTTACCTCCCACATGGCCCGGATCCACCTCCCAAGAAGTGTACAGTTTTACTTGAGTCAAAGCCCTGAAGACCATGCCAAGCACTTTCGGGTGGCATAGCCACCGTTTTGTGTTAAAATCACGGTCAAATCGTGATGAAAAGTTTCACGTGTAAATTCAATAAGAGAGGAAGTATAAGGTGAAACGTACCAGAGCGTTTCAATTTTCGAGTTGTGATAGAGTGGTACAAGCACCATACTGTACGAGACCAACGCGTGTAGGGCAGTCATGTATCTATAGAACCAATAAGTTTTGAACAATAATAGTAAGAGAATACAGAATAACTTCAAATTGAAAAACTCCGAGTGAACCAAACGGGTAACAACATTCAAATCATAAAAATTGATAAAGCTTCCGTCGTTGATCAATCTTTTTTGGGATGCGGTACCAAAAAAGAATAGTCAACCGCGGAAGCCTCCCATTCAGAATCACTGATCTTTGCAGACAGATCTGGCACCAACTTCGCGTCTCCGGAGAGAGACTTGGTTGGCCCGGGCGAAAGCCGATTCTGAACTGGACCTCCGGACCGCGAGCGTAGTAAGCGGGCCCACTTGGCACTACGCTTTGTCTCGGAAACAACAATCAGGCCCGATAATTCCTAGAATTTCCACATACCTGACTGAATGAATTCCGGCGATTCCTACGCGAGTGTTTTCCCCGGGTTCGAGACCAAAGTGCAAAAGAGCAGAGCCAAGAACTTGGGCATCATGAAGAATCTGCGAATTGAAAGGTTGAGAGATAAATTCACTAAATGGAGGTGTGCTTCGGAAAATAGTCTTTATTTTTCTAAAAGGGCACATGTATTCATTTAGATTTACTTTTTTAGCTTATACGGTCCTTCCCCCTTCCCTTACATGGAGTCTTGACAAGGCTTTGTAAGATATTCTTAGTGATAGAAGCAGCTGTGTCACGATGCTTTGGACCCCTATCCCTCCAGACCAAAATGAGGTTCCATCACTGACCAGTGTCCTCCTACTCGTTCGAACCATTTAGATTCGCATCTCAATCATAGAATTACTAAAGAAGTTAGAAATGTGACTTGAAGGAGCCTTCATGCTAAATGTTCGGGCGGAGCCAAGTCTTCCATTGCGCCTCTCGGAGCGCCGCTTCCCCCTAAGGTGATAAAAGTGGGCGGCACGTCAATGGGAAGGCGAAATGCCCGGTCTCGCTCCGCCCACATGACGACCGTGGAATGTGACTCTGGAAAGCGACTGAATGCAGTCGTGTGAAGGAATTCATGGTTAATTTTGAAGAAGGGGTCAACAGCAGTCACTTATACTTTGAAATTTATTGTGCAAAACCAACAGCAACATTTTACGACTGAGAATAAGCACAAGTTGTAAACATGTAAAAGTAACCAACCGTCTCATAGGTCTTCCAAACGAATTCTCCCCCTTTCAGTTCGCCAAGAAATGGTCCATTAGAAGTGATAGAGGCTGCCCTTTTTAGTACATCGTATACGGTAGCGACCGTTTCATCAGGTGGTCCGGTAATCGGCTCTGAAACGATTTACCTTATTCAACCTTCGCCTCGGATATCAGAGGTCGGACAGCTTGTGCAGGATTTCAGAGGTTAACAGCTATCTCACAACTGTAAACATTGAGTTCTACGAGCTGAAACTCCATCTATTCAGCTGAAATCATGGATAGACCACATGACGGGTGAGGGAAATGACAGCGTCAGTGCTCTCCTCTCCCACTCCTCTGGTTCTAGGAGAAGGTCATGGTATGGCTGCCTTCGACCTTCAGTGCATGTCACGACAATATATTACAATGCAGAAGGGCGCTGTTCGGCGAAGGGGGGGGGGGAGCACGTTGCATATTCATTTCTTCGCTAGTGCCGGTTCACAAGTTTCATTCTGGTGCAACCTGTGAATTCTTGCTGAAGGAAGCTCTTCGAGCCATCACGGTAAAACCTGTCAACTCGAGAGAGGCTGTCCAGATGGGTCGACACG